CAGTGTTTCACATTATCAGGTAAGAAATGTTTAATAGTATTTAAAAGTATAATTTAAGCGCATCGCAGATGTAGAGTGTTGTTTTTTGTTTACTCTGACATTTTATTTCTATATAATAATTTTTAGGCAGTTAAAGACCGGGAAAATGATAGCTTTTTGTCTACTGCAGAATGCAGGGTCGCAAGCGACCCTATTAAAGCAAGTGATTTTAAGCTCAGAAAGTGGTTTTTCCGGGACCTGTTGTTGCCTATCAAATAAGCTAAAACTTTTTCTTGAATACAATATTCTTTCCTGATGGATTTGTGCCTGTATGGTTAGAGTGAGTTATATTGATTTTTGCTAGTAACGGTAATGTAAATAAGTTTGGTCATGGCTGTTTGTAAATCTTCTCGAGAAGTCAAAAATTTCTAATGAGTTTTTTTAAGTTTCAAATTTTCTGATTGTTTGAAAATTTATTGAACATATTTTGCTTGTAGTGTGTTATTCGAAAAATTTTGCTTAAGCTTCCCTTTTTTTCTCGTTATGTATGGAGAAGAAATATGGATATTTTATTTCGCTGCTAGCCAGGTGACATAGAATATGCTCTTCTTGAGGCAATCGCGTTTGCAAATGACGGCTAATAACTTTTTTTATGAAAATGCTTGATACCAAATTCTTCTTCTGCACATGTTTTGTGTATTTCTGCACTTTGTTTTTTTAAGTTCTAACTGCAGTGATATCAGAATTATACATTTTCAGCTACGGAAGGCCTGGGCATGAAAGCGCAAACGGAAATAAAGCTACAGAAGGAAAGATATACAAAAATTCTTTTTGAGTAAGCGCTTATTTTGCCATACTTTGTCTTCTTTCCGATTTACTACTGTAGCCTGAATTAATGCTTTATAATTTTCTTTCTTTATACCAGTATTAAGCTTTCGGTGTTTTTTACACGACTGTTGCTCGATCGCTGCGTTCCTAAAGTGAATTTCAGTTACTTAGCGCAAAAGTATGATACATCGGAAGTTGTGAAGAAATTTACCAACATTCTTAGTGCTGTAAACGCCTATATAGAATAGGCAGCAATATTCAGGGAACGTACTTTGTTCGACGCAGCAGTCAGAAATCCGTTTTCGCGGATGAAATAATTTAGCTTTTTTAATAAAATGCTTCAAAAAGCTTGACGTTATCTGCTAGCAATTCTGCAGTAAAATTTAAGTCTGAAAGAAACAAGTAAGTTTCATCTACTGCTGTTTTATTTTTTGGAGCATATGGTAAAAAATTATAAAAATAATTACTTAAATAAAAATTAAAAGATTAAGTCTCAATTTTGTACATCAGTTATAACTGACATTTGGAAAAAAAGAGCTTTTTTGTAGCTGCTATTAAAATAAGCATTAAACATTGTTTGCAGGCCACTGCTCTATTCGGATTTTTGTAGGTAATTTTAAAGGGCAGACAATTAGCTTCAGTAATTTAACCTAGAATATGATGCCGCAGAAGTGATACTAGAAATTGAAGAAAATATCAGCAAGAGAAATCATAAGTTTTTAAAAAATTTTGTTCAATTTTTGATGGTTGGATTTAGATTACTGTTGAAGTTGGGTGTAGGAAATTTGACTGTTGCAATCACTGTTTGAGAGAACTGCTGACTGTAGAAGGTGCCTAGCATTCGAGTTATTTATTGCTGGCGGAATACTTTAATTGAGAAGACCATTGTCAAAGTAGAAAGGTCAAAGGCAGTGAACTTAGCGATCTCAAAAGAACGATAGTAAGAAGTAGCAAACAATGCTCGCTGCTTCCTCAAGTAAAGGTCAAACTACGGCGCACAGTGGAAATATGGTGTCATCAAAAACGCCCAAGTATGGATTGTAGAAGGATTACTGCAGTAGCAGTTCTTCACCTCGAAAGTGTCTGTCGGTGAAGACACGGTCATCAGATAACGTAATCAAATTCTTTAATTCCAAACTTTCAATGCCGTTTGAGAATTTCTCGATTTGCTTACTACCTTCGTGATGTTTACTGAAAATTGGAAGAATTTTGCCTTTGTTTATGATTATTGGTTTTTTTTGCATCCGTCGTTCACAGTTCAATCTTTCTTTGAAGTTACGTTCGTTTTTTTTTTCTTGCAAATTTTGATTGAATGCCAATGGTGTTTCTTTAAAATTTGAGATGCTGTAGGTCAAACACCCAAAACCCTGGCTAAGGTTAGGAACCACCGCAAAATGTTTTTTTCTTCCCACACTTAAGACGTTCAAATGTGAATATTGCTAAAAATCCTTGTTATTTTTGTTTCAGACTGTATAAGTGTTTGAAAAAAAAAGGGTTGTAGAGTCTACCCACTAACAAAGTTTTTAGACTACAAGAGACCTTGTAAAAGGTGCCTAGAAAATTCCGAAACGCGTAAGTTGTGATCGATAGGGAAAGCAGAAGGCAAAAGAAGGCGAGCAGTTTTTCAAACATTCGGCGTAGAATGTTTTAATTGCTGCAAATCTGCAGAACTGATAGGTAATCCTAATCTGCAGAATCGCAGTATTAGGGAAATAAATTCCAGGCGTAGCTTCCTGTTTTTGGATTCAGTGAAGGATCTAAGCGATCAAGAAAGGACAACCGTTGGATATCGTCAGCAAAGAAATGTGTAAGCAAGGGATATGAAAAGCCGGATGTGGCGCAAATCTTTGCTTGAGTAGTTCAAAACTTGCATCTAAATTTTCCAAGGCTTATTTAGTTGACATTTGGTCTGAAGAAAGTTGTGATTTAAATTTTTTTGACTAATTTTTTTTCAGTAATTTTTATTGTAGCACTCAGGTTTTGACTAAGCTTAGCAATTTAGGGACACAATACTGCAGTAGCACTTTCCATATAAATACTCTTCTGCTACTTCAGAATCAACAGCTGTTACTTCAGTTGCATGTAATGTGTGTTTTCTCAAAGCATCAAATTTTTCAAATAGTTATTACGAAAACGTGTAGATAACTGTTTTTCAATCTAATCAATATAGAATACCACTTTTTTTTGTTGTTTTTTAAGACCTCAGGACAGTTGGAAATGAAACCTTCAAATTATATTGTTTTTGATGAAAATGGTCTAATTTATACGGATTGCATTTTTTGAATACATCCTAATAATTTATCAAAGCTAGTCAGTGGATGGACAAGTTGTTTTAAAGAGAAAACAGTCAACAGATAAACATGTTGACCAAAGCAAAATTTCTGAAATTATCAGTTTTTTAAATGGCAAACAAAAACAAGACCTAGTTAAATACTTTTTTTTTCTATTTTTAGAAAGTTTTAACATTTTTACTTTGAATTTTTCAACTTTCGGTCAACGACAATGTCAACTGCGCAAACTGCTGCATTTTTCACACATCTTACTTGTTTTTTTTTTGTAAGTATTTGGCCAACTTTTGTTACATTTTAGTTTCTTGATTCAAATACATGGCGGCAGGATCGCGTGGTATTTTCAGAGTTGCCTTGTCATAGGCCTTCTGAACAAGTGCTTCACAAACTTCCAATGTTGTGAAAATATAGCGCAATTTTTAGTGTGAATAGAACGAAATTTGTGTTGCAAACGTTAATTAATAAATATCTTTGAAATTAGTTTGAAAATGGTAGTGTATACAGTGAATTACTGAAGCTTTTTGTCGCACAGTTTGTTCAGATTATCAAAAAGCAAAGAACACTGAGGCAGTCATTAATACAAGAACTTTGAAATTGGTCTTTTACAGTTTCTGAACATGCTGCTTTTTATTTTATTTTCTAAACAGAACATGTGTTTTTTTTCATTTCTGGATAAAAGAGATTAAATGAGACAGGCAGGCAATGTTTACTAATCAATCTCATACAAATCAGAAAGAATTTGATGAAGATGGTTTATGATCAGCCAAACAGATCATTTTTAGCTTAATTTGCAGCTACTATTTTATCAAGCCCAACACCTATTAAAGCCGGTACAATGAAAAAAGCTAAAAATTGTTATAGAAGTTCCGAATAAAACAGAGAAAAAACAGTAGGTTTTTGACAATGTGAGATGATGAGTTTCGACTTTATAGCTGGAGTATAATAAAAAAAAGTCGTGCTGCAAAATTTCTTTTCTATTTAACTTGCTTTCGTTTTTTTTTTCTGGATCTGTTGTCTGTTACTCCAAACACAGTGGGAAATAGTTGATACCATTTTTTAGACTTGCAGATTGTTGTATCTTCTGTAGTAACCAAATATTCATACTGTTCTTTAAGCACGAAGTCTACTCAGGAGAAGTTATCGTTTACACCGATAAAGAAACTGATTTCAGTTGACAGAACAATTTATAAGATAAAAAATTAGATTTGACAAACTTTAGAAAAAAGACTACGCTTTAAAGAAAGGTTTTTAATTGAATGGTTAGTCATGTTTTGATAATGAGTTTATTTAAACGTGACTTTACAAATTGCGTATGTGACTGCTTAAGTTGGCACGTTTAACAACATTTCCTTTTGAGACTTTTCAGATTAAAATGGGCCATTGCGCGTCAAATCGCACACTTTTTCCTCTTCATATCTCAGATTTTCTTTCAGTTTTGCTGATTATTAGAGTCTAGACGAGCATAGAGAAAACTGCAAAAAAAACCTCGAAAAGTGAATTCCCCGCCAAGTTATACCCCCCCAAAGTGGCAAAATTTGCCAGCTTGCGGCTTGACTTGCCTATCTTTAAAGACTTGTAATTCAGCTCGTTCTAAATAGAATTTAGTGTTTTTTCGTTCGCTGAATTTGTCATGACTGAGCTTTTAAATGCATATTTATTTTTAAAATTCTATCAAAAACCAGATATATACAAAAAAAACAAAATTTTAAACAAAAATAAAAAAACGAAGTTTCAAACCTTAAAAAAAAAACGTATTTTGTGCAGAATTTTTTGCTCTAGTATTCAAATATTCATACTATAAGGAAAAACACATAGCCGTGACAACAGCACAAGACGAATGGGTATTACAATTGTACACGAACAAACACACACTAGCGGAGGTCAACTGATTGGCATTCTTTTCCCTTAAAGCTTGAAACCACCGACCTTATATACTACCTTCCGCTTTCGTATCTCCCGTCTAAATTGCCTCTCATTGTAAACTGTTTGATCATAGTCCACCTGCCGACGGAAGTTACGTGCCGATCGCTGTTTACTGAATGCGTCCGCCGAGTCTCGATTAGCGCCCTTTGGTCGCTTCACGCGACACTCCGGAGACCGGAGTTTGGCGACCATAAATTGTTTGATTGACATAGTCTTGAACTGAGCGTAGCGGAAGGCTTTAAGCACGTGTTGGTTGTTGTTGTTTTTGCTATTGTTGAGGACAGACTCTGCAAATACACCCATATACATTATTATCAAGATTATTAATTTTCCTATTCTCTTTCGCTAGTCCAGCGTTTCAATCTTCTTTAAGCTGCCCCCTCCTCTTATAAACCAAATACGAATGTGACGCTTTTTAAAATTGCTCCTAGAAGCGCAGTACCAAATCCATATAGCTTGTAAATGATTCTACCGTGGATCGCAGTGTCTATCAGCCACTTAATGATGCGGCAAATAACCACAAGACCCAGTGCAGTGGTGCATAGGTTCCCAAACATGTTCGTTCTAGACCAGAGGCGTCCCCACAGGCTATCCGCAATTGTTTTTTAGCGTTGTTTCGTCGAGGTTGCCGCTGATTGAGATGCTCTGCGTATCTAGTTTTCCTCCCATCGCTCCTCTTACCAGAACATTAGTAATGGCTTGCCTCTCTTCAGAGCACATCAGTTGATCCAGCAATTTGACGACCTCCTCTGCTTTGTATATTCCTCCTGTAGTCAACGCTTTCGGAGAGACGTATCTGAATTCCATCTTCTGTGGCTCCGTCACCTGAGGTGATCGTGTCAAAACGGGATGTGGCGTCATTCTGTACCACTCGCCTCCGAATCGATACATTGGCTGTGCTAATGCATTGCATGTTATTTCTGTGCCATGGTGCTGAATCAGCCGGGCCTTAGGAGTTCAGAAGGCTGACTGATTATTCCAAACAACCGGTATTTTCATGTAGCATCTGGATGTCGATCGGATGGTCACTTCAAATGGGACGCACTGGATTATATGTATTACTCCACCTGAAAGATGAGCTGTGTAACCTGGTTTTTCCATGAAGGCGTGTGCGAAATCACTGGCACTTGTTGTCGCAACGGCTAGTTGTGTCAGACGCGTTTTCCTTCTTGTTTGGCATCGTTGGACATTTAGCTGAGTAAAAGTTCTTTGAAATTTTGTCTCATTGTCTTCTCGACGTGCACAAATTTTGCGTTCATGTACACTAATAAATCGAGAGCGCCCTTCGGCATCTCTCACTTTCTGAAATAAAACTCTTCATTTTCTGAGTGTGCAATTACCAGTCTAGGATGTTCAGTTTTCTATACTGTTATTGCACAGGCCCTGTATGATGTTGTGCGGTGCAGGGCAAATACCTTCTGACCCTCTTCGGCTGAATACGTAACCCTATGGTTACCTGCTTTGTCAGTATCTTGAGAAGTAATAAGTCGAGCACTTCCTTCGTAGAGTACAATGTGGGTCTCTTCACTACATGCTTTTTTGGGGTTAAGTTCCCAATGCCTGTCTCCTTGTTCAATATCCATGCAGTATGTCGCGGAATATCGGCAAGTGAGTTGTGATCTGAATTTTATTT